TAGTGGTAGTAGTGGTAGTAGTAATGACAGTACTCGTAGCGTAGTCGTAGAAGTGCTATCAGCACGACTAGCAGTACTCGGAATACAAGAGGGTGTAGTAGTAGTGGCTGACAGCAGAAGTGGTAGTGAAGCAGGCAGGGGGGGTGGGGAAGAGATAAGGCGTTAGGGTCTCGAACCCATGCAGCCACTGCAGTCAAAGACAGCGCAGCACTCGTGCCAGATGCAGTTTTGATTCAGCCGAGATGTGCAACAGCCAATTGGGGAACGCGGGCTTCGCAATTATGTGCTTAGATGCAGGCTTGCAGGATCTGAAGTCGTACCTCTGAGCCACCATCGGCAATGCCCTCCAGGCATAGTTCCTACGAGGCCATCCTGAAGCATCATCTCTTGGCGCAGGCTCCGCTTTCGCCCTGTCACTGTGTATGGACCTGAAACCTGCTTCCATGAGTCTATATCAACCAATCCGTGCTGGATTGAACATGAGCTCCTTGGACCTTTGGACCCATCTACAGTACTTGTCGGCCTGTCCGTCTTTTGACCAGTCCACCCATTCAGGTGCATCTCCCTCTTGCACGAAGATCACGAAGTGTTTGGTATGGCCCCAAAAAACCCCGGAACCCTCTGCCCTGAAGCACCACCCTCATAGATCCTGACCCCCGAACATGTAAGCCATATAAACCCTCCCACACAAGTGCAATTCGAACCCTCGTGCTCCAATAAAGCCTTAGCACGCATGTAGGAAAGAGCCCCATAATCCGACGCTCCAGGGGGGGTTTCTGGCATACTTTGAGGAACTACAAGGGGATCTTATTGCTGATGTTTCCGGATCCCTATGCACAGTAGTCTCCAGGTCCCCTCCTCCCCTCCCCCCCCCCCCAAGGATGGGTGTTACCAAGCAACACCTGGCAGGCCCCGACTGGCGAAAAGCCGCTGCCGGACACTGGCCGTGATATGCTTCGGGTTTCCGCGGAAAGGGGCTTGAAGAATTCGGCATACGGGCTTGAATAATGAGGACAAAGACCCCTGATAGTCATAGGTTGTCTACACTGTAGTAAACCCAGAAAGCCCTGTGTCAAATTACTCTGTCTCCTATCTTGCCATCAGCTTGTCTTTTCTTGATTCATGCCACCGTCAGCTTTTCTTCTTTGTGCACAGAGCCTGATAGTCTTTAAACAGGGAGTGCGCTTTCAATATTGCTCTTAACAGTCAGAGTTACTTAGAGTCTTGAAGAGGCCTCCAAAACATAGTGTGGTGTTGGATTCAGAACTCCCTCAAGGGTTCAGATCGAGGGCTGAATCTTTAAATTGTTCATCCTGGCGTAGACCTGGCTGTTTGCGGAGTCTGACCCTACAAACAACAGCAGGTTATAGTAGGTGTAATGCTCTCCCTGACGCAGTTGGCCTCTCTTGCGTTGTGAAACCCTCTGAGGCCTCATACGATGGCACCGGCACCTTGACACTCCTGCAGAAGGCCGTGGCAGCGTTAGCTTCGAAGCATCGAAAAGGGACTGGCAAAACACCTCCCCTTCAAACATGAAGCCGTGAAGACTTCAATTCCCCGCGAGGTTCTGAGGCTGTTGTTGCCGTGTTTAGTCGGTTTTGGGTTAGACCCCTGCTGACGCAGCTGCATGATGCTGCATGTGTTGTCAAACAAGACCCTTCCATGCTCACAGACTTGGGCGCGCGCGCGCGCAGGCATATCTCATGGTACATTTCACCTTCGTCATCTATGCGCCCGAGATGCAAACCATGCACATGGACGCGAGACTCTGGGGATGGAACCTGGTTGGCTATGCGGAGTCGCTCCCATACGCAGACAAGGCGCATGGGATCTCCGGCTTCTGACGTTTTGGGCTGCTCGGGACAAGGGTGAAGGGGGGGGGGGGGGGGGGGAGGCGGACTTTGATGCGGATCCTGCGGTTTTGGGCGTCGAACTTCGGACCTCCCATTTTCTGAATGCTGGCATCCTGTGCTTGCCCTTGCGCGGCAGTCTCTCCGGATCAGGGCAGCCTCGTCCAGTTTCACGACCATGCCGCGCTGTACCAGCACCCGAAGCTGGGCTCTTCTTAAGGAGCTGACATGGAGGAACCCGGGTTACACAAGGAACACAGAATGAATGCTAGGTCTGCCTTGTTAGAATATGGTAAGATCATCGAATCACAGAGTTTCTCTCGAAGTGCCTTCACCACTCAGGAGAAGCCTGGAATGTGCTCTCGTCTTCGAGGGCAGCACCTTGGCCAGACGTTTCCTAGGGACTTAGAAGACCCAAAAAGTCGAAGGCGGAGCTACTTGTAGCACTACAGTTTAGGGTTCAGGGTTCAGCTTAGCGAAGTTTGGGGGCCCGAAGCCGAAGCAGGCTAGAGGACATCATCAAGGCAGGGCAGTCGGAGTCGGTTTCGTGTAAGGAGGTGTGGGACTCTATGTGTTGTTGTCGGACCGAGCCTCGCCTGCTTGTCGAGAGTGA